CTCATTCTTTTTCTTTCAGTGGGTTAAGTCTGTTTGCCCTCCACTTGAGTGTGTGTTGCCCTTGTGATTTGCTTTTACAAATGGAATATCCAAAAAAGAGAAGTAGAAGATTAAAAAGAAAACCAAATGAGAATTTTAGAGATAAAAGAAATACAGTTATTTTATTCCTATTTCCCCTTTTTTTTAGATTGGATAGTTGAATGTGGTTTACATAATGCTATAGAAAATAGGTGATAATTTCAATAAATTCACAAATTTCAGAGTTTTAAACCTAAAAACACAGAATTAGTTAACCTATTTGAAAGTTTTTAGTGTGTTGTAAAACACGATTTACTTTCTTGTTGCCATTTTAACACAAGGTCTACACATATATAATATGAGATACAAAAGGTCTCTGATTTTGTACTTATGGAAAGATAGAGTAGAGGTATTTCCTTGTTCCACTAAGTATATCTAAGGCAGTATATATAAAACACATAAAAGACTGAAAGGTGGAGAGAAGGGAGTATAGTGATACTGGTATACTGGGACCTCAGAAATGACACAGAGCTGAGTTCCCTAGATTTTCTTTTTTGCCTCACATACCCCAGACTTGGGCCTGAAAAGGTAACAACCCAGCAACACCAAAGGGCTCACCTCAGAAGACCAAGAAAAGCCTGCTCTCTAGTCAAAAGACCAGGAAAGGGAAAGCCCCGGAGACAGAACACTTTTAGAAAACACTGCAGCGCCTACCCTCATCACTCTTCTTGTCTAAGGCTGGATGGAGAATCTAGGCTTTCACCCTTGACCAGCTGTGTTGAGGTGCCACTCTCTGCTGGGTGGTGTCAGAGAAGGCTGGGTGAGCAGGTGGGATTCTCATCTGTGTTGGGTGATGAAAACACGCTCTTCCTGCTGGGGTGGCATTAGAGGAAACCTAGTAGGGATTCAGGAATTTCACCACCACTCGGTGCTAATGAGGCCACGTAGGGTATAGTAACAAGGACCTCTGGTGCAGTCAGGGTGGTGTGAGTGGAGGCCACAGGAGAGGTTGAACTCTCACCCCACTCAGCAGCAATGAGGCGTATCTCCACCCAGGGTCAGCGGAGGCTGAGCAGAGAACTCTGACTTCCATCTCCACCTTTGCAGTCCACCTGGCAGAAACGAGAAATTGTTGGTACATCGTCGTTAGAGGCCTGCTGTAATAGAAGACTTAAATCAGATCCCGGGTCTGGTAACATGGAACCCAAAATGTTGAGGCTTCAGTTGAAAATTATATGTCATATGAAGAACTGGGAAAATCTCAGTTTGAATGAGAAAAGACAACTGACAGCAACACAGAGATGTCGCAGATGTTAGAATGATTTGAGAGGGATTTTAAGGCAGCCAAAATGAGTATGTGTCAGCGAGCAATTAGTGATGTTTGAAACAAATGAAAAAACAAAATCTCAGGAAGAAAACACGGGATATAAAGAAACAAATGGAAATTTAGAACTGAAAAGTATAATTGAAACGAAAAACCCAGTGGATGGCTGAACAGCAGAATGGAGAGGGTAGAGGAAAGACTGAATAGAAATTACCCACCTTGAACAACAGTGAGAAACTAGCCTGGAAGAAAGTGAACGTAGTATCAGGGACCTGTGGAACTTTGACAAAAGACCTATCGTTCTTGTTATAATCCCAGAAAGAGGAGAAAGTGGGGCTGAAAATGTATTTGGAGAAATACTGGCTGAATATTTCCTAAATCTGGCAAGCCATAAACCTACAGAATCAAGAAGCTTAATGAAACCCAGACAAGATAAACTCAAAGAAATTCATGCTAAGACACATCGTAGTCAAAACTTCTGAGAACTAAAGACAAAAAAGCAGTGAGAGAGAAATGTCACTTTACCATTAGTGGAAAAACAATTTGACAAGTGGATTTTTCATCAGCGACCATAGAGGCCATAAGGAAGTGGCATATTTTTCAAGTGCTGAAGGAAAAGAACTGTCAACTCAATTCTGTATCAAGTGAAAACCTCCTTCATGTGATCGGTCACAAGCAGACCTATCCTAAGATAATAGGTAGAGGAACTTCTTTCAACAGAACGGAAATGACAAAGCAATGTGGGAACACCAGGAAGGAAGTACAAACAGTGGAAAGAGGAAACATACTGGTAAATTCAGTAGATACTCATGTTTGAAGGTTGAAGCATAGCTCTTGATGTTCGCAGTGTATATAGAGGAAGTATTTCACTTGACTGTTACAAGTGTAAGGAGTTAGGAAGGTAAGGTTTCTATACGTTACCGTGAACTGGTAAAATGTTGATAATCAGACTGTGATAGTTGTGAAATTTAATACCTAGAACAATCACTAAAGAAAGTTACACAAAAGAGGTAAACTCAGAAACTATACTGTAAATCAAAATGAAATTCTATCATGATCCCAGGGTCCTGGGATGGAGCCCCGCATCAGGCTCCCTGCTCCGCGGGAAGCCTGCTTCTCCCTCTCCCACTCCCCCTGCTTGTGTTCCCTCTCTCGCTGTGTCTCTCTCTGTCAAATCTTCAAAATGAAATTCTAAAAAATGTTCAAGTAACCCACAGTAAGGCAGAAAAAAACAACAAAATGAGAGAACAGAGATTGACTTCTATACTAGGAACAAGTGGGGTTTACTTGTACATGCAAATTTGGATTAGCGTTTGAAAATCATCAGTGTAATTGATCCGTTAACAGGCTAAAGAAAAGCCACACCATTAGGTGATGCAGAAAAAACAGATGACAAAGTTCAACGCATTTGTGAGACTCAGGAAGGGGGAGCCTTCTCATCTCAGTAGACGAAATCTACAATTGACCTACAGCTATCATCATACTTAATGGTCAGAAACAGAGTTTTTTTTACCTTGAGATCAAACAAGGATGTTTGTTGTCACGTCACTGTTTACAGCATAGTACTGGAATTTCTAGCCAGATCAATAAGAAAAGGAAATAAAGGCTTACAGATCAGAAAGGAAGAAATAAAACTGTTCTTTTTTAAAAATTTTATTTATTTATTAAAGATTTTATTTATTTGACAGGGAGAGACAGAGTGAGAGAGGGAACACAAGCAGGGGGAGTGGGAGAGGGAGAAGCAGGCTTCCCATGGAGCAAGGAGCCCGATGTGGGGCCTGATTCCAGGACCCCGGGATTATGACCTGACCCGAAGGCAGACACTTAACAACTGAGCCACCCAGGCGCTCCTGTTCTTTTTTTTAGATGGCATAATAGTCTACATAAAAAATGCCAAAGAATCTATAAAAAATCTCCTAGAACTAATAAATGACTTCAACAACAATGTAGGATACTAGCAATTAACACAAAATGGAAATAAAAATACAATGTTATTTAACATTACTCAGAAAATAAAAGCACAGACTTCAGTGTAAATTCGAAAAGGCATACGTAGGACTTCTTTGTGGAAATCTACAAAACTGAGGGAAGAAAAGATGATCTAAATGAACTGAGACATATACTGTATTCATAGATTGGAAGTCTCAACATGATAAAGGTGCCATTTCTCTCCAAATTGAGGAACAGATTAAACAGAATTCCTGTTAAAATTCCATGAAGATTTTTATTTTTGTAGGTATGGGAAAGATTATTCCAAATTTATATGGCTAGGCAAAGGAACTAGAATAGCTTCGATAATTTTGAAAAAGATTTAAGTGATAGGAATCACTAATGATTTCAAGACAGCACAGTAATCAAGACCATGTTATTGGCAGGGGTGTGTGGCTGCCTCAGTTGGAAGAGCATCTGGCTCTTGAACTTGGGGACATGAGTTTGAGCCCCACGTTGAGTACAGAGATTACTTAAATAAAACTTAAAAAAATATTGTTATTTATAGAGAGATACGTAGATCAGGGGAACAGAATAGAGAACCAAGAAATAATCTCACCTAAGTATAGCCAATTGATTTTTGACTAAGATGCCAAACTTTCTCAACTCAATGTAGGATGGATAGTTTTCAACATGTGGTGCTGGAATAATTGGATATCCTCAGCAAAGAAAGAAACAAGAAAACCCAAAACAAAAATACCCCTGGATCTAAACTTTACGCCTTAATACAAATATCAACCCAGAGTAGCTCGTAAATTTAAATATAATGTATAAAACTAAAATTTTAAGAAGAAAACAAAATTTTTAGGAGCTAGGATTGATAAGTTCTTAGACGTGACTCTAAAATACCCATTGGAGAAAGATAATCGATCAGTGATATTTCATCAAAATTTAAAAGTTTTGTTTTGTGAAAAACCCTGTTAAGATAAAAGACTGGGGAAGCTTGGTAACCTGCACACCTGACACAACGCATGAAGGATATATGGAGTACTCTCAAATCTCAACAGTAAAAACCCAAAGTCCTATTAGAAGGGCAAAAGATGGGAGAAGACATTTCCCTAAGAAGGGTATTTAGACTGCAGATAAGTACATGGAAAGATGTACAGTCATCAGCCACCAGGGAAGTGTGTGTGAAGACCGTGACACAGTACTGCACACCTATCAGAGCCAGTGAAATTAAAACATGGTGAACATACCAAATGAGGCCATGGAGAATAGAATCTCCTACATCGCTGATGGGAATATAAGAGGTTATAGCTGCTTTGGAGAATAGTTTGGCAGATCGTGTTTTTCATGTTGCCTAAAGTGATAATATTTTAGACACAGTGGGCTAAATAAATCATTAAAAGTGTGGTCTAGAACGTGTGATTAGAATTGGTTCTCTTTGGGGAGTAGGCTGAGGTTGGGGAAAGTTGGTTAAGGGAGACTTGTTCTTTAAGCCCTTCAAAAACTTGATAATCAGATTTGATAAAAAGTTACCTGTTCGACAAAGGCTGGGGTCTTTATCTAAAAAAAGGTTAATTTGTTATTTTCTAAATTAAATAGTAAATATTGCCATAGTGAAGAATGAAGAAGTTTGGAATTGAAAGTAATTACTGTCATCTATTTTTCCTTCATTTCGGTTTGCCATATCAGAAATTAAGTACTTGTTTTTCCTGCTTTTGTTTAGCTTATTGCAGGAGCGACTGGGACATCACCTTCTAGAAGTAATGCCCACAGAAAGCGGGAGTTGCTCCACTGCTCGCCAAGCAAAACAGAAACGCAAATCTCACAGCCTTTCTATACGAAGAACTAACAGCTCGGAGCAAGAGAGGACGGGTCTGCCAAGAGAAATGTTAGAAGGACAGGTGAGTTAGTGCTGATTGTGTTTGTAATGTTCCAGAAATAGCCATATACATATAGGTCTCCAAAGTAGAGAAAAAGAGTGGGTTACCAAAACAAAACAAAACCAGCTCCTCTTCCCTTAATAACCGATTAAAACAACTGTCAAATATAACGCCTACACAGAGACCCATGGGTGGCTAATGTGCCTAAGGAATTTTTAACATTTTAATTAATTTACGTTTAAATTTAAATAGCTACATGTGGCTACTGGCTACCATATTGGACAGTGCAGGTAAACAGTCTAGTATACGTTTTTTTTTAATTAGATCTGTTTACATTTCTTTTTTTTTGAACTGTTTTTTAAAATTTTTTATTGTTAATCACCATAACATGTGCCCATTACATCATTAGTTTTTGATGTAGTGTTCCATGATTCATTGTTTGTGCATAACACCCAGTGCTCCACGCAGAATGTGCCCTCTTTAATACCC